GGCAACAAAAAAACGGGATTGGGAAGCATGTGGGAAGCCAGAATACGTGGCAAGTGGACTGTGTTTGACCTGGTGGGTCAAAAGCTGTGTGAGCCTGGCCAATATGCATTCTATGTCCCCCAAACCATATGAGACCTAGTGCTAGTCATAGAGATTGCTCCAGGTGAGTCTGCAAGATGCAATGCATGTGCTGAGGAAGCTACAGCCGTGGGGATAGGGATAAGTCCTAAACTGGGAGGAAAGCGAGTGGGGAAATGCTTTATCTGGATGAGGAATCTTCTTCACCAGTCTAGAGCTGCTGGACCCACAAGGAAGGAAGGCACTCGGAGAGCAGGAGGAGAACTCCAGGGAAGTAGGAGCTCCTGCCAGTCTGTCCACCTTGCAGGGAGGGTGTGTCGATGGCTGTTGCACCCTCCAAGCTCTGACATGCATGAACGACTACTGAAGCACCCCCTGCTATGTTGGCATCTATCTGTAATGTGGATAAAGGCATATAGCCCACCTCCCTCACAAGGAGATAAGAAGCTGACAGCCACACAGTGTCTGCCCGCAGTGTGTGTCTTCTGGGCCATTATAACTTGTTTCCAGGCTTATTAAGGCAGGCACACTGTGTCATGTTAATAAACCAACCTGTACAGCAAATCTGGCCTTTAGCTTCTCTCTTATTGCTGCCTGTTTGGGACGGAGGGAAGGGGACCAGAGAGCTCCCACCTTCTTATTCCCTGAGCTCCAAGGAAAGGAAGCCGGACCCAGAAGAGACTGGGGCAGAAGAGCTGGGTCTGGGGTTGGGGTGGTTTCCTCATCCACTGTTCAGGGTGTGGGGTTCGGTTCAAAGAACGAGCGGCCCCAGCAGGGCCTAGGGCTCAGGGTTTCCCTCCCTCCCACGTGATTCCCGAGTCACTCGGCTCTTTGGAGCTTATTTTCCCTGTTCTGCCCTCAGGTCTCCTCCCTCCTGCATGGAGCTGGCTTCCCTCCAGCAGCCTACAACCCCAGTGCTTACATAACAGCCAGGGCATTGTGCCAGAAGGTTAGTATTACAAACAAGGTGCCTCTTGTACACGTGAGGCTCGTCTCACACAGCCCTCTGTGCCAGGACGAGGAAACCAGGGCAGGGCCACAAGCGCATTGGCAAAGGTGCCACCCACTGCTAGTTTTCCTTCTGTAGGGCTGTGGGGCTGCCCTTTCTGCATAGCTGACGAGCTGACTCACTGAGCAACCCTGAATTGCCTGGAATAGGAAATCCGGGCCTCTGACTCAAGGGCTGGCCTCTTGTGGCCAGTCTCTGACTCCGCTTGGGGTTCTCTAATTATCTGGATCCTTTTCCTCCACCCCTCTTAGGACGGTCTAGAACGAATGGTCGGATCTTTTCCCCATCCTGACCTGGGTGCCGTAACACTCTGTTGCGCTTGGTTAATCAGCACATCTGCCAGTTCCTAGACTTGTTCCTACACAGCCTCTTGATTTCCATCGGATTCTGTACCTGCTGTGTTGGGCAAAGCATGAGGAAAAGCCGGTGTTGACCACAAGGAGACAATGAGTTCAGTCCTCTGCTAACGTTCCATGTCAAGGGACCTCCTTCTGTCACCTCCAAAACAGAAAAGTAGGTGTCATCCCAACCGCTACACCAGGGATTGCAATTGTTCTTCAACTGCAAATCCCAAAATCCCTGGCCTTTGTCCAGGTTGCTTGGGGCCCAGGGGAATTGGGCTCCAACAACACCTGGGGCAACCCTCCCGTACACCCCAAGGATGGTCCTGCGATGAACCAAGTAGGCAATCTAATGTGTTGCTTTTACAGTTACCAATCAAGAACATCTCTCTATTAGGTTCAATTTCCAGTAGCAAATTATCCTATGGAAGCCCCACTAACATGAACAGAAATCAGACAAGCACTGTACACTTCAACGGTGCTTGTACAAGACAAGTTCCCAGCGGACTGTGCCCCCATGTTAGTGAGTGGGAAGGTGGGTGTCACTAGGAATTTCAGCATCAGGTACCGAAATGTTTTGGGCTGGCCCTGTACACCCTGCCTGTCTCTCAACAGAGGTATGTTAGCTCTCAACGCAGCCCTTCCCTCACTGAGCTGCTAAGACTCCTCAGTATGCTCTTGAAATTATAAATATGTAGGATGAAAGGTCCTGCCAACCTAGCAGTTCGAAAGCACATCAAAGTGCAAGTAGATAAATAGGTACCGCTCCGGTGGGAAGGTAAACGGCGTTTCCGTGCGCTGCTCTGGTTCGCCAGAAGCAGCTTAGTCATGCTGGCCACATGACCCAGAAGCTGTACGCCGGCTCCCTCGGCCAATAAAGCGAGATGAGCACTGCAACCCCAGAGTCGGTCACGACTGGACCTAATGGTCAGGGGTCCCTTTACCTTTACCTTAGGATGAAAGGGGAACCTTTTTATGTTGTGAGCCACCTCTGATTTTCAGGTGAAGGCCGGGATACAAATTTAATGATGATGCTGCTGCTGATGATGATGACGATGCTTTGGTACTCCAGTACCCACATGAATGCCTAGCAAAGGCAGGGTATTAACAATGCAGATTTCCCCAACTTTCTAGTATATGCCTGCAGATGATGAGAGAAACCAACTGGGCAGGCAGAGATGATGGCACACGGTTTCAGTTATTCTAGGACGCATAATGTGAAATGAGGACAATCAGACATGCACAGCTTTCTCTTGAGAGAGCAAAGTTGAAAGCGTAATAGGCCAACAAAGCATCTATGCCTAATTCTGGGTACCGGGCACCATTGCACCTCACACGGCATCTTAAATCATTCTCTGTGCCCCCTCCCCACTCGTCAATCTTGGTTTCTGCCTTTGATCTCTAATCCTGCTAAACCTTGGTGCCTTCTGCCTGCTAGCCCTGGAATTGGAAAAACAAGAATGCCTGAGCCAAGTGGTGCAATTCTTAATGATAGCATCTCCACAGGGGCACTGGTTAACAGGAAGGTGCAGCTTCTTTCCTGGAGACACCCACTAAGTACTCATGACAGTCTGGACTGAGTTGTCAACATCTCCTTGCCTCGCAGAGTGACTCAGCAGTGCCTGGAAGGCAGTGGCTCCTGAGAGGAAAGGTGACCGGGCAGTCACCTGGATCCCAGCAGCCAGTGGAAATGGCTCCGTGCGGTTTCTGGGTCACTCATCATTTCTTAGTTCAGGGCGAGCCTGGTAGCTTGCCACCTCATCGCCCAGCTTACCAACACAAGTTTCCAATTGGCAAAGAGAGACAGGAACAATAATAAGCCATCACATTAGGTAATATGAGCTTTTGTGAACATTTTCCACGTTCCCAGCACTCCACAACCTCAGCGCCAAGAAGAAGGCTGTTCTGGGTCCACATTCTACACAAATGGCTTTGGGTTCAAATGTTTTCAGGATTTCAAGAAGCAGGTTCTACTATGTCTGAATAGGCAAGTGATGGTATGCGTCTTTGCTTCCTCCCTCAATCACCCTGACTTTGGGTGCATATACTGCAAAGGAGACCTTGTTTCACATCCAGGCTTTAAAGCAAGTGGTCCATCACACGTTTAGTTTCCCCCAGTGCCCTAGCTTTCCAGGGCCTATTCATGCTAACAGAATGACATGGTGATGTGGGTTGGCCATACCTGAGCCAAGCTATGCTTCTGTAATTTCTTCCCCAGGAGTCCAGTCCAGGATCCTGCCTTCCCTTACTAACTGCAGATCCCAAACACTAAGAAACGTCCTTATTCCATCCAGCCTAGCATCATACTAGCTGACAGCTGCCAAGGCCTAAAACCAATAACTTTCCCCTTTTTGTCACCGGGGGCTCCATTTTGCAGACAGACCTGTCTTCAATGAATGCATCTTAGATACAGGGGAGGCCGCCATTGTTTTTGTTCTGTTGACTTTGATTTATTATTATTTATCTCTGTGGGTATTCATTTGGGTTGCTGCAAGCCACCTTGAGGATTACACAGTGGAAAGGTTATGTTTCAGTAAATAACCCACTGGAAACTACCAAGATGCGCCAATCAACCAAAACAGAACCATTTAAAAAACACGAACCACCTAAACTGAGAGGACAATGGGGGGGAAGCCCCATCTTTGTGGGCATAATGGCCTTGATTTCTATTTAAATGCTGCATAAAAGGAAGGCAGCGTGAGAACCTGCATTTGTGAAGATTTGAGCTTAGGTGGTCTCACCAGAACTGGATTGTTTTCAACAAAGGGAATAAAATACTCAGAATGCAAAAATGAAGGGAGCGAAGATTAAACTTGCTTCAGTTAAGCCAACAATTGAGAACAGTCCTTCTGGATGCTAGTCATACAGAGCATCTATTCCCAATTACCGCGTGTCTTCTAGCAGCACTGCATCTTCACAGGAGCACAGGAAATGTCCTTACCTCTACTTTAGTAGAGTCCAGTCAGGGCTGGTCCAAGAAATCTTGCTGTCTGAAGCAGAGTTTCAAATACTCCCCCTCCCCCCAATCCTGTGCCCACTCCCGAGTCAAGGTGCATAATACCATGGCTAGTCAATGTATTTTGGCATTTGAGGCATGAAATCCCCACAAATAATTCTCCCCCACCCTGGCAATAACAACAGAGCAATAATTTGCTGCCCATTCATGAGACTCAGAATTGGTTGCCTCACTCTGCCTAATGGTAGGGCCAGCTTTGAGCCAGTGTTGTCAAAGCCAGTGTTCCCCAGCCTTGTACCTTCCAGGCTGCATTGACTGGGGTGGATGAGAGCTGGTAGTTCAAAATATCCAGAGGGCGTGAGGATGGGGAAAGCCCCTGGGCTGTCAGGCAGAGTCTTCCCCATCACCTACTCGCGGATGTTTCGCTGGAGACTGCCAGGGATTGAACCTGAGACCTTCTGCATACAAAGGGCACGATGTGTCGCTGAGCAACAGTCCCTCCCCTTAGCTGTCGCTTTTGACCTGATAAATTTTCCACCCCGCATATTATACAACTGAATTACCATGGAGTTTTCATGACACTTGCGCTGAGTGTCTCGATCAGGATTAAGGTGGAATGAAGCTGGTCCATAGCCCTTCCTTGCGTAACTGCTTCACCGGCTGCCTTCTTCATGGCAATCACAGAGAGAGCTTAAGGCAACCTCAAACCAATTGGATACTGCATGAGAAGCAAGAAAGCTGGGTGGAAACCAAACCAATGATTATGTTTCCGACACCACAATTAAGTAACACCCTGGTGTCATGTACGGTGTTACCGTTAAGACATTCCAGAGTCCCAATTCATAAACGGGTTAGGGAGTCACTTTGTTTTGATTTGCGAATTCCAGCTCTGAGTTGTGCCACCTTTGCCCATAGGGCTGCCAAGGTGGGGTCTGGAGGTGATGCTGTGATATTTCCTTTTCCTTTTTGCTAGCTCTGCTCCTCTGCCTTTAGAGCATCCTGACACACACAAACTAGAGGGGTGTAACTTTTCCACCCTGCTTCATCCCCATGAGTGGAAAACTGCCACCTGCTCAATACCTCTCTGTAAGTATTGAGCCTTTGTCTCTCCACTGCCTGTTTGCCTCAAAAATATGGCAATGTCCTTGTAATTTGGTGCCACAAATTCGGGAGCTTGCTCGCCTCCAAAGCTGTCCATACGGAACACTACATGGGCTGCCCCCAACCCCCATCCTGGCTATCCTATTCTGTTCTCTATCTTTTTTATCCCAGGCTGTTCTCTGCTCTATCTTTTTATCCCAGGCTGCCGCTGCCATGGCAACACAGGCCAGGCATTCTGATGGGCTGCTTTCATGGTACACAACACTGGCTGCCAGCCACCCTCAAGCAGTGTGTGTGCAAGCAGAAGGGGCGGGCAGGCAGGGTGTGTGTGTGTAGCCGATGACCTACTTTTAACGGCACTTTCTTCTTGCCCTTGCTAATCGTGGATAATCCTACCCTGACCCAGAGATGTGGCAGAATGAGGAAGCGCAGGGACAGGCTTCAAAGAGATGCAAAAAGCCAGCGGACGGGGGTGTCTGCATAAAGTAGCAGGCTCAACATAGTGGGGGAACACAACTACTACTGTTACTCAGACCCTACCTGCTCCTAGTCTGCTAACAGGAATGCCTGCGCTAAGGTGGAAATTATAAACAAACCTTCAGTGGAGGCCAACCCTCAAATTTTTAGAACAGCCACATTAGCATCGCAGGAGTCTAGTCTCTTGAATCCCACAGACAGTCTAACACATTTTGCTGTCCCTACAGCTAGTTTACATCTTACACCATTGCTTCCACAGGGGAAGAGCAGGGGCAGCAATAATTGATTCGATTAACCATAATAGCTAAGTGGAGCTTCCATGTTCAGGGGCAGTGCACCTCCGACCAGTTGCTAGAGGGCACCCAGTGAGGTAAGGCCGCTGCTCTAATGCACAATGTGTGACCTTCCCAAAAGCATTTCATTGGCTATTGTGGGAGAGGGGAGGCTGACTTGTGACGGTCCCATGTCTGAGCCCACCAGACTCTTCCTATGCTCCACACGCAGTGTTTTGTATCCAGCAGCAGACACTTTCGTTCCTCATCATTACACAAAAAAAAAGGTAAATGTGTTCTCCTCCTAGTGTACCACTGGTAGGAAAACGAAACAAACACTATGAAACTTACAGGCACCTGGCCAGGTTTACGCAGCCTGAAGCTGAGGCCAGACCCAACCCTTGACACACCTCAACCTCTCAAATAACCCACACCTGTAATCCTAAACATCCTTGAGGGCAGGGACAGGGAACTTGTGGTCCTCTAGCAGCTCCCCTCATGCCTGACCACACTGGCCGTGTTGGTGGGGACTGATGAGAGCAACATTCATAGGGCCTGGCTTTCAGCATCTCTGTCCTAGACTCACTGGCAGGGAGAAAGCCAGGTGTGGTTTTGGTTCCTCCCAGAGGAGGCAAAATGATTGAAGTCACACAGTGCAAAGCCCTCCCAAATGAGGCTTTGAACTTAGATGTACCTACAAGATTCCTAACACGTGGGCTGAAATAACTGCCCTGACTACCTGTTTCTATGTTAAATGCTGACTTTCACAATCCCACATGGCTTGGGGTCACAGCAATTCTCTTATGAACTTCCTTGGACAGCAGGATCTTTAGAAAGGGCCAACCTTGAGCCAAGGAGAAGGGCCCTTTGTGGGAGCAGCAATCCAGCTAGGGAAAAGCTTTGGCCTATTCATACTCCCTGCTGGATTTTGAGAAACGAGGTTAAGACTTTCTTACTCTGTCAGGCTTATGAAGAATAAGTTATCGGCCTTATGCTGTTCTTATAGGCATCTTTTAGGATGGACAGTTCAAATTCACTACTTCAATGGAGGGTGCGGGGCACTGTACAACTGCTATGGATTTAGCCACCTGGTGGATGTTGGATGGTGACACACCATACAAATATATGTAAACAGACAAAACACTTGCGTTCTTTCCTGTACAACATTTGGCTGCCCTGGTTGAAAGGTAAGGCACCACTGTCGTACATCCCTTTTATGCTAATCTGTTTCCACTCCCAAGTAATACTCAGCAATTCCTCAGCATTTCTTGAAATTTTCTGCACATTTATTTTAGTATTTAAAATCACAAATATTTCTGTCCAACCAAGCAGTTCCTGACTCAGAAGATGATGCAGTCCCTGGCAAACCACCAGCTGTGCCGGCTGAAGCTACCCAGGAGCCTCGGCACCAGCGAAGGGTGGATTGGATGCCAACTTCTCCGTGGATCTCGATGCCCCCAAATCAGCTCAAGTAACAATATCCTTGCAGGGACTGCCTGGACAGCCAGCAGAGCTTAGAGACAGGTTCCCTCCACGTGCTGAATCCCTGGCCCATCCAAGCCGGGAGGCCACCAACTTCCAGGTCTCAGTAGCTCCACAGCCTGCCTTCTCATGAGACCCCTTTCAAGTCCAGCCGGGACACAATCCCTTTGTGTCTCATGATTGCCCCTCTGCTTGATCCTGTGGCCCTGGGGTCTGAGTGGACGAAGGCCCGCTTCCGCTCCCCAAATCCAAGGCTGATCCTGCTGTGCAGAATTTCTCTCGTATACAAAACCCCAGTTTAAAAAACAAAAGCCCACCATCTTTTACCCACACCCGAGCCTCCTTCAAGTGGCCCGAGGGCCATCGTCATGGCAACCTTCCTCCCACCGGCTGACAAGGTCCTTGGGCACCGAGTTGTCTGAGGGGACGCCGGAGCCGCGGCACAAAAGTCTCTCCAGGGCGCCCCCTGTGGCCGGCTGCTCGTTGAGGAGCAGCGCTTGCCGCACCAAGGCCGACATTTCCTCGGGCCGGTCGCCAGCCCAATCCGGTGCCACAGGGGCTTCCTGACAGCAGCCGGCCGGGACAGTGCTGGGACCAGGGAACAGCTCTTGGACTCCGCTACTGTGGGCCCTGCACTTGAGGCGAAGCTTGTGAGGGAGAGCTGCTGTCCGGACATCGGGGTGGGCATCCAGCGGCCCCGGATAGGGAACAGGCGAGCCGCCCCAGCTGCGCTCTTCCCCGCTCTCCTCGCTGCTGTAGCCCTCAAAGGGGGATTGGGGCTCCTGAGCCTTCCTCATGTGCTCCACTTGGGGCAGATCCCCCTCCAAATAACCGCTGGGCGTGCTGTAGCTGGGGGGCTTTGTGCAGTACCCTGGGTGGGGGGGCAGCTCCTCCCGCTGGCTGTGGCCTTCCTGCTCCATGCAGGGGCTTTTGGGGGCCTCGCCAGCACCGCGTCCTCCTGCCCGCTCCTCAAGCAAAGGCTGGGGGGCTGCCACTGCGGTAAAGCCATTGGCGCTGAAGAGGATGACCCCGCGAGGAACCGGGGTCTTGGGCTCCAGGTGGCGCTGCGGGGGAGCCTCGCCGTAGGCTCGGCTGACCGCCTGGGCCTCCCCCAGCGTTTGCGGCATGGGGCTGTCCCGAGACGAGCCGTCCGACATGTCCGAGAGGGAGCCCCGGGACGAATACTTGGCCGCGGACACACTGCCGCTGTCCCGACTCGACTGCTCCGTCTCGGAGGAGTCCTCCGAGTGATGCGCCCGGGACAAAGAGCTGCCAGAGTACATGCTGCCATCACTGCTCTCATAGAAGTGGGCCATGGCGTTGGCGCTGGCGGCGCTCAGCTGCTGGCTCTTCTCCATGAAGGCCGCCGTGCTGATGAGGCCGAAGCGCAGCTTGAGCTGCAAGAGCTCTGTCTTGAGCCGCACGTTCTCCTCGTTCAGCGCCATCACCCTGTTCTCCAGGACCAAGTCGTTGAAACGCCGCTTCTCCCGTGAGCGCTTGGCGGCCTCGTTGTTCTTCCGGCGCTTTTCCCAGTAGCTGGCGTCCTTCTTCTCGTCAGAGATAAATTCCCGCTTCCGTCGGCAGTTGGCACTCGGCTTGCCCTTCAGCGCCCGGGCTCGCTGCATCATGCCGTCCTGGTGGAATCCGGGGAAGCTCCCTGCCGAACACAGCGTGGGCGAGTTGAGACTCTCCATGGCGTCGCCGGCGGAGGTCTGGCAATCCCTCAGCACAAACGTTCAAGTGCTCGTTGCCTGCCTGCCCTTTGGACGTTTACCCTCCAATTGCTGAAGCTGGAAAGGGCACTTCTTGCCGAACCCTACGCCCAACGCTGTTGTCAAACTGTACTGCCAAAGGCGCTACTTACAATATAGCCTTGAGCTGTCCTCCAGCTGCAACAGTCAAACGGGCTCCGAGTTCCCACCGGTGCAAAGGGAACTGTCCAGCACAAGGAGAGCATCTTCCAGGACACCCAGAGAAGCAGGAATTCTTTCGGCTGGAGGCCCAGGCAATCGAAGACTTTCTGGTCACTCTTTGCTATCCGGAAGACGATTCACTGCAAGACCTGCGGGGCTTTGAATCCAGACGGCAGGAGCAGAGATGTTACCGGCTGGCAGGCGCAGTGGGAAATGAAGGAATCAGTGGCAACCGCTGCGTCAGGCCCAGAAGGGAGTGAAATGCCTAAGGAGGAAGGACACAAAAGGAGGGTGTTACATCTCTGCCCAGTGCTGTCACACACCTCAGGCTCCATTTACATAATCCAGCAGGTTCAGGCAGCAGTGCCACAGCCCCTGGCAGACAAGGGCCACACCCCACATTCCAGTTCCCTCCAGAAATATGAGTGCTTGCACACAGTGGGTGGGGTCACACATGCATGGGGGTCACTCCCTTCAGGGAGCCCCCAAACATCCCCTCCCAAAAAGGGATTTCATGCACATACATACACAAGTTCTGCTTGCTGGTCAACGCACACTGTGTACCATATCCCCACCTACTTGAAGCATGCGACCCAAACCAGTCTTCTGCTACATGGGCCTCCGGCAGCACCGCACATTGTAACGACTTATGGACATAGAAGGGGCGCATGGCACATATAAAAGGCACACGCCAAGCTAAGGAAGGGGAGCTGAATGCACACTATTTGCAGCACAGAGGGGGGCCTTAAAGCAAGGAAATGGTTGCAACCTGGTATATTAGGGTATAGTTAAAGCCATGGTTTCCCCAGTAGTGATGTATGGAAGTGGACCATAAAGAAGGCTGATCGCCAAAGAATTGATGCTTTTGAATTCTGGTGCTGGAGGAGACTCTTGAGAGTCCCATGGACTGCAAGAAGATCAAACCTATCCATTCTTAAGGAAATCAGCCCTGACTGCTCACTGGAAGGACAGATCCTGAAGCTGAGGCTCCAAGACTTTGGCCACCTCATGAGAAGAGAAGACTCCCTGGAAAAGACCCTGATGTTGGGAAAGATGGAGGGCACAAGAAGAAGGGGACGACAGAGGACGAGATGGTTGGACAGGGGATGTATTCCATTTACTCCAGTGCCGTCCCCAAACATGTCCATGCACAGCTGCCTGTTATTTCACAAACCTTGAGAAGAGCTTTCTCTTTCCCCTCTCACAGGAAAACTAATCCCATTTCTCTCTCTCTCGCACAGCCTCATCCAGGCTCTGGCTGCAGGGCTTACGGTATTTGTGTGTGAGATGAACGGTGCCAGGTTGGGAATACGGTCTGCGAAACCTATGGATCCGAGGTAAGCATTCGCCTGGTCCCGTTCTGACTACCGAGGAATCAGGCCACCAGGCAAAGGAGGTTGTATAAGGAAAAGCGATGCTGCCACTCCTCCTGGACACCATGACACATACAGAGGAATGCTCCAGCTCCCCTCCCCTGAGAAAGCCAGGGCCATGTGGACGTAGTGGCACGCTCCCCCATGGCGGTGGCGCTCCCCCCCTTCCCTTCTTTCCCTTTGCATGTGATCTACGCGCATCAGGCACAAGCAGCAGGAATATAGGTCAGTAAACACTGAATATTTATCAAGCCAAGCAGTCAAAACAGGTCTGATGATTATGGATTGCACAACAGCTCCAGAAAGAGAGCACAGGCACAGCGCCAACAACCTACTGGCCTAGAAACTGTTTCTGCACAAAGAGACAATAGAGGCAGGGAGGCAGGGGGAGATATTACGTGGAGCTGCAGCAGGAGGAGGCTGCAAACAACTAGGGCATTGTCCAGGGCAGCCTTCAATGTGACTGGCATGTTGCTGTGCCATTTGCCCACAGCTGGGGCTGGGGAGAATATCCCACCAGGGCACACACCCCAGACGTGATTTGCTCATTTGGCTGCTGCTCTGGGCTTCTTTAATGAAGCACAACTTTTTTTTCTGACACGAATAATTTTTTATAGAGGAAGCAACGGGAGCACCATCGCTTAGGCAGGGCGCTGTGTAAACATTTCCCTTTTTCTTTTAAGGAAAAAGCTTTATTTGTTTCATATGAACAGACTGGAAGGAACTAGAATTCACTGGCCAAATCATGGGGGGGGGGGGGAGAGAAACGTTAAGTGGGGGTGTTTCATATTTCATAAAAGCAATTTGTGCTAAAAAGAGTATTTTAAAAAAAGCAGATCTCTATTATTCTCCCCCTCCCTTCAAAAATAAATGGAAAATATGACACAATCCAAAGCCGCAAGATCCCTTGACGATCAGATATGAAACTCTGCTATGCAGCTCGTCACCAAATCTTACCACCCCAACTGCGGACCAAATGAGTGTCAGTGTGCCTTGTTGCTAATGGTACTGCAGGCACTATATACCTGCCAATTAAAATGTGGTGGGGGTTTTTGGGGGGCGTTATTAGGTTGTTGTTTTTATTTTGATTATGTATTTTTTGGTTTTATATTTTGATTTGATTCGGTGAACCGCCCTGAGACCTCCAGGTATAGGGTGGTATATAAATTCTATTATTATTATTATTATTATTATTATTATTATTATTAGACCCCTGCCTGAAACACAGGAGGGCCTTTGCAAGACAGTGCAGACAACGGTCTGACTTTGTATAAGGTAGCTTCCTATGTGACTATATAAATTGGGACGTGTTCACTTAAATGATGGGAGTTTGGAGCCAGGGTTTTCAGATGTTATTTTGCCTGTTTTCATCCCAGCTGGTTGGCGCAATAACTGTACCTGGCTGGCTGAGCTGGTTTTCCCCCTCCTCCCTCCCCATCCCTTTTTCCTTGTGTGCCATGTCTTTTGGAATATAAACCTGAGGCCAGGGGCTGTCTTGCTACTGATTGTAGTTAAGTCACTCTAGGGGCCTTTTCAGCTGAAAGAACAGGTCAAAAATGCTTTAAACAAACAAACACTATCCAGCTGAAAGGATGTGAATGCTAATGTGCAGCTGGTAGAGTATGAGACTCTTAATCTCAGGGTTATGGGTTCGAACCTCACGTTGTGCAAAAGGATTCCTGCAGAGGGTTCTACTAGATAACCCTTGGAGTCCATTCCAACTCTACATTTCTGTTTTGTGCTGAAATCTGTTGAGCTTCCTGCACTACTTTCTTCACCCTAGTTGCTCCTGGGCCACATCTTCTCCTTCAACTCTTTCCTTGACCCATGCATTTATTTCTCATTCTGGGTCAAGTCAAGAAAATAATTTTCCAGCTAAACAGCCCAAACCCCACACCCTGACCCGCCTATGGGCTCCGGCCTCATGTCTTGGTGGCACGTGGAGCTGCCAGCAGGATGGGCTGGGTGTGTGCAACCAGGATGCAGCGAGCTGGGGCATGAACAGAGGCATGACCTACTTCCCAGTCTGCGTCACCTCCCTGGGGCAGCGAGGCTTACAGCCTGCAAAGGAGGTCATATCCCAGGATGGATACACAGCCAGAGCCCTTGACTTATGGCGAGATGTGCTGGAATACTTCTGGAGTAAAACCAAATAAAACTTTTAAATGCAGATTCATTTGACACGGATAAAAAGTAGATGATCAGAAACAAACAAGCAAATTAACTCGAAAGTGCATCTGAGCATGGGCAGAGTGCTTTGCCACTCACAAATAGCCAAAGTCATGTCACACGTATCTGAGGCTAGAGAGAAATGGCTTCCAGCTTACTAAAAGTTGCAACCTTCAGATAAGAGGTTGAGCCTTAAGGAACTGAGATGGTCCAGCTCAGAGGGAAAGAGGGTGCTTGCAATGAAAAATATTCTGGATCAGAACAGGAGAAGTAAAGGGCTCTTGTTTCTTCTCTACTAGACGACAAAACGCAGAACGTGAAGAGAAGGAGCAGTAATCAATGCAGACACACAAGTAAGCAAGTTTGCACACCACTTAGAACGCAGCCTCCCAAATTCAGTGTTACAGGATTCAATTTCAGTGAAAGTGTGGATAAGATTTACAGAACGTTACGTTGCCAAATTTAAGGGAAGGGGATGCCAAATCTTAGTGATCCACAGGAGCTGAGGCCTTTCAGAATATATGACGGTCTGACTGTCTTTCCTGGATGAGTCCTAGTTGTTCACAAGTTTCCTGGAACACATGTTAAACTAGCCAGCCTGCAGTTTGCCAGAACCCCCATCCCTTTAAAAAATATTGGTATTGCTTTGGTCTCTTTCCAATCCTAAAACGTGGAGGCTGATATTATGGACAAGTTACCGTATTTTTCGCCCCATAGGACACACTTTTTCCCCTCCAAAAATGAAGGGGAAATGTGTGTGCGTCCTATGGGGCGAATGCAGGCTTCGCACACCTCTCCGCAAGCAGCGGGAGCCCAGCGCTGCGCTCCCGCTGCTTGCGGAGAGGTGCCTGCATGCTGAAGCCTGCGCGCGCTGAGCTCAGCGCGTCCAGGCTTCGCGGACCTCTCTGCAAGCAGCGGGAGCCAGCGCTGGGCTCCCACGGCTTGCAGAGAGCTGCCTGTTTGGGGGCTGGGGTCAGGGGAAGCTCGGGCTGGGGGGGGAAATAATTTTTTCCCCTTTATTTCCCCCCAAAAAACCTAGGTGCGCCTTATGGGACGGTGCGTCCTATAGGGCGAAAAATACGGTACCTATTTTTGGTGGAAGACCAGCAATTTCATATTTGGGTTCCTGGGGAACTCTCAGATGGATGCTATCCGGGCCCGGTGATTTACTTGTTGTTCATGTCAATTAAGGCCTAGAATTAATTACTTAATGGCCTTTTGCCACCACTTTATGCCTTCCTGAGAAGGCTGGTTCAGGAGCAATTATCTGCCCTTCATCTTCCACCATGAAGCTTATCCTCAGTTAGCAGATACAAAGAGGGGGAATTGTAAGCAGAGGGAATGGGAAGCTGCTCTGACAGCTGCTGTCAGTCACCAACTTCCTCACCGCCCTGCCTGTAAGAGCAGCACAACACAACACAAATTCAGCAGCTTAGGTTTTCCTACTTCATCTCCATAAAACAGGACAAGCCGGGGCAGGAGCAACATTCCCCATTCTTGTCTTCAGTCATAGATTTCCCGAGTAACTTTGGACTGCCCGTGGCAGATAACCCTTCCCAAGTCTTCTTCCTTAGGTGACTGATATTGTTTGCTCTGCAGGTTCTTCCCTTTGCTTAGCCCTATGACTAGCAGCTTCCAAAATGAGATCCCCTCCTCTCTGCTCCCTCCCTGCAGGGCTTCCCACAACCGCTTAATGATGTAACATTACATGACAGTGTCTGCTTTCCAAGCAGGAATGTTCTGTTCCTCTCCGGGTTGGAGATGAGCCACTGTAATTCTTCTTCCTCCTCCCCTTTCCCTTCCTCATCACTAGGCAATATTCTGCATAATCAAATCTCTAAACACACATGCTAGGATTGCCACTCCACACACACACCCCACCGAGGCATTATGTAAGCAGCACGGCAGGCAGAAATTTAGCAGCCATACCTTAAAATACAGCGATAGGGGGAAATGTACCTGTTGATGTTTTGCCCATCTGGCAGTGTGTTAAACGCACAGAGACAAAGGCGGCAATCACACAATATGGGGCTGCGGGGACGGTGCAGTGGGGTGGGGGAGATGACAATATTGTAAAGCAGAAAATCTCACTATTTAACATCAACAAGGGAGGGGGGTGTCAGGAAAAGATCAAGCTACGGGTTTCACTTTTGGCCGGTGGAGGGAGAGCTCTGGGGTCTTAGCTAGGTAAAGGTAAAGGGTCCAGTTGTGGCCGACTCTGGGGTTGCGGCGCTCATCTCGCTTTATTGGCCGAGGGAGCCGGCATACAGCTTCCGGGTCATGTGGCCAGCATGACTAAGCCGCTTCTGGCGAACCAGAGCAGCACACAGAAACGCTGTTTACCTTCCCGCCGGAGCGGTACCTATTTATCTACTTGCACTTTGACGTGCTTTCAAACTGCTAGGTTGGCAGGAGCTGGGACCGAGCAACAGGAGCTCACCCAATCGCGGGGATTCGAACCGCCGACCTTCTGATCGGCAAGTCCTAGGCTCTGTGGTTTAACCCACAGATCCATTAGCTAGCCTGACACATAGAAATAAAGCAGGTGGAAAAACAGGCTAAAGAGTAGGCTTGTGAAGAAGGTTGTCCTTAGGGTTGCCATATTTAAAAAAGTGAAAGTCTGAGCACAAAAGTTGCTGAGCTTTTTTTTGGCCAAAGTTGTTGATCTCAACAAAAAAGAGACATGGGCTGCCATGCATCCAGATTTTCATGGATATTTCAGCGATTTTCGCTCCTCAGATGCCGAATACTGGCTATGTCCAGAAAATTCCGGAAGTATGGCAACCCTAGTGGCACTCCTAGGCCAAGATTAATTTCCACCCCAGACACCAAACGGATCAAGTACTGAGCATGGCCTGGAGAGCATGGATTCACACTGCCCTCCAGGCGTTGAGTGGCCTTCATCAGATCATGGTGAGTTAAAAGAGGACATACACACACACCACACAAACATCACTCTGGGCCTCTGAAATGTGCAATGCAAATATGATTAACAAATAAAGGTAGTGGTTAGGGCTAAGTAGGTCAAGACACGCTTTGAGGTTCCCTACAGCGGAACCCCAAAGGGCAAGAGACTGTCGCAAGAGGTGGCTCGCTCAGCAGCAGGTGCACCCTGCAAATGGCCGCAGAGTCAGACACAAGCCGCCCCAGCAGCAACCAGGCCTTGCCCAACTGGGGCTCTCCTGAAGTGATGGGCCACAACTGTCACCAGCTCCAGCCCGTGCAGGAGAAGGTGTGGGTTGCCCAATAAGCAGGGGGCAAATAAAGGCAGCCTGGACAAGCTTCTGAGCTTTTTAAAATGAGTTTTGCTCTGTAAACATACGCAGGCAAAGCTCTGTCCACACCAAGCAGTGATTTATCACTTACTGGTGTCTGGAGCTCAAGCTGCTGTTAGATGTACAGAAGCAGGGGTCAGTGAAACAGCAACTCTTCCTACGGGCAACCTCAAGAGCTAAGCTCTGCTCTGTGGCTGACTGGCCAGCAACCTCTCCGATTTCACAACTGACTTTGCCATCCCCACCTCCCTCCGGACGCCTCCCCCTTGCTGCTCTGAATGCGAGTGTTTGGCCTGCTGAGCCTCCTCAAGGGTGCAGAAAGGCTTTCTAAAGCAAAGATTGCTCAACTCTGGGGCGAGGCTTTGCATGTGGCAGCAAGCAAGCCATTCCGTGCTACACAACAGCACGTACGTACACTCTCTCTCTCTCTTGCTTAGACTTTGTCCAGAGTTTCCATTGCTAAGGAACATACTGATCTCCTCCCAGGAGCCTAAGCTCTTGGCCACGACTGGGGTTACAAGTTTTGCATAGCTGTTGAAATGACTCAGGATGCCTGTAATTGCGTTTGGCTCTGGAAACCAACCGATGCCTTGATGTTTAGGGCACGGGGGGGGGGGGGGGCAGCACAGGGTGTGGTAAAGGAGGATGGGAGCAGGAATGCTTTGCTCCGAGTCTGAGTTCTGGGAGGGGAGTGGTGACTAGTGGTCAGAGACGGGAAACAAGAGACTGAAGAAGTCTGTTCAGTGCTCAGTGTGTTGCAGGGAGATGGGTAAATCTAGTGGTTTGACAGCCCAAATACCTCTCCGATTCCTTTGTCAATCCCTCAAAGCACAAGAAAGGAAGCAAGTATATCCTGCAAATGCAACATACACAACTGATGCTGTTTGCACTGTGACTCCACCCAGAGAATCAGAGGTTCCACTCAGCAGCCCTGAGCGCTTCTTACCAACTCTAACTAGCCAGCCAACTCCACCCAGGTTATGTGATCAAGGTTTCACTTGACCTGGATTGGAGAGCCCTCGGCAGGACAGTGGCAGACGCAGGTTGCCAAGACCTCGGTCAAGTCCTACTCACAGAGTGATCTCAGGCCAGATGCGCACTCGGCCTACCTTACAAGTTGGTTGTGGTGGGGGTGTCCTGAGCGCTTTGGAGGGACACCACAAATATTGCCATGCTCAAAATTATTGCATGGCTGGGAACGGAATTAGGTGATCCGCTGGATCCCTCCCAACTCTACAATTCTGTGTTTCTATGAAATCAGGATGGCTATGGGCTTTTTATAAACTTTCAGTGCATGCTTTAAAAGAAAGGAGGGGGTGATAAGCTACAGCAGTGAAGGTTAGCATGGATCTAGGTGATAGCTATTAATTAGGATGGGGTAAATAGGGTGATTTTGTCACAGATTGCTATCCACAAACTCCCATCTCAAACCCTTAAATATATTTATCCATTTGTACTTGTGAATGCACATGAACACACATCTGCAGGCGGTGTGTTTATCTTTGTGTGGGAAGAGGATTGCAAGTGCATTCTTAATAGTAATTTGCTGTACTTTAAGATCAGCTGACCCTCTCAGCCTGGCAGAGCAAAGATCACAATCAGAGAAATACTGTCCATTACACAATCAGTGCTTCTAATGCAACGTGTGAGCTTTTGAGTTACACACAACTCTTCCTGTGACTGGATAGTTAAGAAAGTGTTTTAAAAGGAAATAATACTTCTACTTGTGGAGAAGATGAACAGAAACATATTCTTCCCTCTTTTTGAAAGGAAGGGAAATCACCATCTAGACTAAGCAACATGTTGTGTAACTCAAAAGCTGATACGCTGCCTTTTGAACACTATTTAGTCCTGAATATGAGTCTGAGCTAGGCAAGATGTATAGCAGGGATGGAAATTCAGCATCCATCCAGGATGTTAGAGGTTTACTTGAGTTACGTACTGTATTTTTCGCTCTATAAGACGCACCAGACCACAAGACGCACCTAGTTTTTGGAGGAGGAAAACAAGAAAAAAATATTCTGAATCTCAGAAGCCAGAACAGCAAGAGGGATCGCTGTGCAGTGAAAGCAGCAATCCCTCTTGCTGTTCTGGCTTCTGGGATAGCTGCGCAGCCTGCATTCGCTCCATAAGACACACACACATTTCCCCTTACTTTTTAGGAGGGAAAAAGTGAGTCTTATAGAGCAAAAAATACGGTACTTTCAACAATCCTCCAGGATACTGCATTCCCCCAGTACAGAATCTAGATTTACCTTGATGCAGAAATTTAATTTTAGCAGAGTATACTGTACATAGACGACAAAGAAGAGCCCTGTGTGGTTTTCTCTCTTTAACTAAAATCCCTGGAGTCCACTTTTGTATTTTTAAGTTTAGAAAGCATGAGAGCATGCTCAATATCACCTTGCAGTTAAGCCATAAGTGATCTGTGTTACGAGATAAGGAGCGCACTTCTAGATCACCTAGTTCCTTATTCTTGGCAAGAATCTCTGTAACAAGCACAAGCTGCTGCCCCATCATTTGGCCAGGGGGTCAGTCAACCAACCTTCTTTCTGCCCAACCCCTGCAGAACAGAGGGTGCAAGGTTTTGTTTGTGTGGGTATGGAGTTGTGCAAGTGGCAAGTTTAAATACTGGAGGGGGGGTTCGGGAGAGAAATTGACCGTACTGCGTTAACCAGTCGCCAGATTACACACTTCCTTACCCACATTCCTGTGGTCAGGTAGAGGACTTCATTTGGAGAGAGAAAGAGAGCGCGCTAGCTTGTTTGGAAGTGACTCTCTTCAGCTAGACACGCCTTACCCAGCTTCTTCCCTCCCACTTTCACGCGGGTGCCATGCATTGCTCTATGCTTCCTCAACAGTGTGGCACAGCGACCCTGCACATGCTCAGAGGCACTCCGCTATATTCTGAGGCGGGAAGCTCAGCTGCAAACAAACCCGTGCAAGTTTAACCCGTGTGCATCAGAATGCCCAAATTATTTTACTGGAACAGCAGCAACAAGCAAAAACACACCACGACGTCTTCCCGGCTCTGGTGATAAACCGATCTTCTCCCGAAAGCAAGCTTTCCCCAATCTCATTTCTTTCATGTCAAAGGGTTCTTGGCTGCCTCGCACAGACACACAAAACCCTCACGCCCTTCCCCACCCCCCCAAAAAGTAGGTCAGGCTGGGCAGGAGTGGAGGCCCACTCGCAGGCTTGCTAGTGTTGTTGCGCGCGCGAGCCGGGGCGCGCGTGTGCGCACAGACCCGCCGGGGGAGTTGCGCGCAAGCGGATCTTCCCCGCGCCGCCCCCGGCCCCGCGCGCGGCTCCACTTCACACCAAGAACGCGAGTGGCTGTGCAGGAGAACTTCTCCGGCTGCATTGTGCGTCCCCGCGAGCTTTTGCTTTGCTTTGCTTTGAGCAGGGAGCGGGCGGGCTGCTGGGCACATACGCACAAAAACGCAGCCCCCAAAACAAAGCTGCACATGCTCGCTGCACGCAAGACACCGTTCCCACAAACAAAGCGCGCACGCACATGCACCCGCCGCGACTCTCTCTCTCTCTCTCTGCCCGGCGAGCAGAGACCCAGGAGCCGCCGCCGCCGCCGCCGCCCTGGCCGGGGGAGGGGCGGGAGCTCCGCGCCCCGGATCCCGCAATCGCAGACGCGCCCCGAGCCCCGGTACCTCTTTGGGAAGAAGCGGCCGCGTCCAGGGATCCGTCGCGCTCCTCTCGCCCCGCCAAGCGCCTGCCTCCTCGCCCAGCGCCGCCGCCGCCGCCCTCCTTCCTTCGCCCGGCGAATGTGTGTTAGTAGGTCAGCCGGTTGCATAAGCGCTGCTCTGAGCGCCTCCTCCGTCACGCTCCCGGAGTCGCCGCACAAAACAAAACGGGGGAAGGGAAGGCAGGGAGGAAGGGAAGCGGGGCGGGGGCAGCCAGCCAGCCAGCGAGAGAGAGAGCGAGAGAGGCTGGGCCGGAGCCCGACGAGCAGAGCCACGCGGGAGGCGCCGGCGCCGCGGCGGGGGGCGGAAGGGCCGGACGGAGCCCGCCCGCGGGCGGCCCTCGCGGAAGATGCGCGGCCGGGTGGCCGAAGGCGGGCGCAGCCCCATCGGCGCGCGTGCGAACGAGAGAAAGAATAAAGGGCCGCCTTGGGTTGAGGATTTTCCCATTCAAAACCGCCCCGGCTCTGGGGTTTTTTGGGGGGTGAGGGTTGGGAATGAATCCCTATTTGTGTGCGAAGAGCTCTGTAATTCTTCGGTGCAGAGAGAGGTGCACTCTGCGTCTGCCCTTGGGCCGCCTTCTTTATCCATTATATTTTCCTACCATCTTTCAGCAGCGCAAGGAGGTGTACACGACCCTCTTCGCCCATTTCATCCTGACAACAGCTCTCGAGGAGTAGATTAGGCCTAAGGTCGGACACCTCGTGGGATTTGGACCCGAGTCCCCTGAGTTCAGTGCCCCAGCTCCTATGCCATCCTGGCTTTCCTCACAAATGGAGGAAAGCTCCAAATGAATGCAACCAAACATTGGTAAGGGCTCATTATCAAGCCTACCCAGTGGCAGTGAAGGCAGCAAAGAAGGCATACTTTGCTGTCTCCATTGCATCCTCATTATGTTGTCCAGCAGAGCTTTTCCGGGTTGTAGGGGCCTTTTAGAGGCTGACCCAAAGCAGGTGGTAGAACCGACGGTAGTTCGCTGTGACTTGTTTGCAAAATATTTTGAGGATAAAGTTGCTTGCATCCACCAAGACCTTGACTCTACAGTGGACGCTTGGGTTGCGAACATGATCCGTGCGGAAGGCACGTTCGCAACCCGCAGCGCCACGTCTGTACACGCGCAGGTTGCGATTTGGTGCTTCTGCGCATGCGGGACCGCCAAAACCCGGAAGTAACCAGTTCTGGTACTTCTGGGGTTTGGCATGTCCGTAACCCGAAAAAATGCAACCTGAAGCATCTGTAACCTGAGGTATGGCTGTACTGTTATAGCAGATGAATCTCATGGGGTGTCCAGAGCACAGTCTAGTCCTGTTGTGTTGGATGAGTTTCAGTTGGTAAGACTTGAGGATGTGGACCAGGTGCTCAGATTGGTCAGGGCAACCGCTTGCACCCTGGACCCTTGCCCCTCTTGGCTGATAAAAACCAGCAAGGAGGGAGCAGTTGGTTGGGCCAGGGAGGTGATCAGTGCCTCTTTATAAGAGGGGGTGGTCCCTGCCTGTTTGAAGGAGGCAGTGGTAAAACCATTCCTTAAGAAAACCTAACTACCGGCCAGTTGCTAATCTCCCTTTCCTGGGCAAGGTTCTGGAGCGAGTGGTTGCAGACCAGATCCATGCGCTTTTGGGAGAAACTGTGTTATGTACTGAGTTGAATAGGATCCAAAATGCAGCAGTCTGATTGGTCCTAGAACAATGCAGCAGTATGATTGGTCTGCAGGAGCCACCCAATCCAGCTCCAGATGGAAGTGAATCCACAACCTGATTGGCCTACAGGAGAATCCCGGAATTAGCCAATCACGTGCAGCCCATTGTGTAATGTATATAAAGCAGATATTTGGAGGGAACTTTCATTCCTCCTCACCACTATGAGCTGAATAAAGAGCATGAAATTAACTCTCGACTCCGAGTATATTTCAAACTGATTTTCTGGATCCATTTCAATTGGGGTATAGGCCTGGTTTTGGCACAGAAACTGCTCTGATATGATGACCTCTGTCAAGGGAGATGAAATATACTCAGAGTTGCAAAGTGATTTCATGCTCTTTATTCAGCTCATAGTGGTGAGGAGGAATGAATGAAAGTCCCCTCAAGGTATCTGCTTTATATACATTATTTACACAATGGGCTGCACATGATTGGCTAATTCCGGAATTCTACTGTAAGCCAATCAGGTTGTGGATTCACTTCTACCTGGAGCATTATTGGGTGGTTCCTGCCAACCAATCATACTGCTGCATTGTTCTAGGAACAATCAGACTGCTGCATTCTGAATCCTATTGTTCTAGGACCAATCAGGCTGCTGCATTTTGGATCCTATTGTTCTAGGACCAATCAGACTGCTGCAGTTTGGATCCTATTCAACTCAGTACATAACAAGAGAGACATGGGAAACATGTCCCTGTTAATTCTTCTCGACCTCTTAGCAACTTTCAATACCATCCACCATGTTATCCTTCTGGAGCGACCCTGAACTAGGGGTGGGTGGCACCGCTTTGCGGTGGTTCCAGTCCTACTTGGATGGTTGCTCCCAGGGGGTTGCTTGGGGAATGCTTTTCAGTCCCATGGAACCTTCAATGGGGGGTTCTGCAGGGCTCAATCCTATCCCCCACGTTGTTTAACATTTACATGAAACCGCTGGGTGCGGTTATCCGGAGGTTCGGAGTACATTGTCAGCAGTATTCTGATGACAGCTCTATTTCTCATTTACATCTGCAGGAGCTCCTCCCTTACATCACCTGTCATTGTTAGTATAGGTTTGATGTCTGCTGTGCTACACGCATGCACAAATAACACACACACCTGTATATGAATTGTCCATGAAACACTGTGTCTACAGTTTGGTAGAGATGGGAGTTCCTTGAGCGTGCACTTTATTAGATAACAATATTTAGCCAACCTTCGCTCAAGAGCTGAGGGCATGTGCACACTTGAGGTTAGGCTGAGAGATCGTGACTGGGCCAGTCCTAATCCAGCACTCTGACCACTAAGACACACTGGTTTTGAATCTGGGCCTCTTCATTCTTTGTCAAACACTGAACCGGATTGCTACTCTTAACATGGAATCACTGCCGCGGCTAACCAGTCATACTTCCCATGGTGGTTGTTAAAGATTTCAGAGATAATGTCTGTGAAATAGTTGGAAAACTTGTAGGGAAAGTGGCTAACATAGTAATACGAGAACCCTGGTATCTCCATTAATTCACTAAATGTTATTACTTCTTCACCCAGGGAAGAAGAGGTGAGTCCCAGCACCTCTCCTTTCATTCACTGACCATTGCACCTTCCCCTTTCCTTCTATAAACTGGCATTTCTCCTGTTTTGATGTGAATAACCAATCCTGAATTACTGTTGGAGGTAGTATTCGTTATTGCATAGGACCACCATTTCAGACTGGTCCCTAACCTTGGACATATTTAATCGCAAAAACCAGAGATAGAAAGTGGGAAGAGTTATAAGTGCATTTGTTGTGTGACGTTTCATAGCTCATCTTAAAAGCCAGTGTCCACCACACTTTATATGATTAAGAGAAACATCTTCAAGTGGGACAATACAGATTCTGAATGGCTGTTGGGGGGACAGGGGCAGATTTAGCCCCTTCCTAATGTTCCCAGGAACACTCCTTCACCTTCACCTGCATAAGTGAATGGATGCCATTTACTCACATAAGAAGAAAAATAAAGAGTGGTGCTTAATAATAATAATGATTTATTATTTATACCCTGCCCATCTGGCTGGGTTTCCCCAGCCACTCTGGGAGGCTCCCAACAGAATGTTAAAAACACAATAAAACATCAAACATTAAAAACTTCCCTAAACAGGGCTGCCTTCAGATATCTTCTAAAAGTCAGATAGTTGTTTATTTCCTTGACATCTGATGGGAGGGCGTTCCACAGGGCAGGCGCCACCACCAAGAAGGCCCTCTGCCTGGTTCATTGTAACCTCACTTTTTGCAGTGAATGAACCCCCAAAAGGCCCTCGGAGCTGGACATCAGACTGAACAATGCGGGTGGAGACGCTCCTTCAGGTATACTTCAGGTCAAATCTGTGGTTGGGACAAAACCTGTCCCTGACGCTGATACAAAGGGGGCTGGGCTTTGAAGACACTCGAATTCAGGACGCAAGGGAGAAATGTGCTAAGAGGAAGGCACGCTTGCCAAATCCACACCGTGATCAACTCCCACCCGGGAACCAATGTCCCCACTGTGGAAGGACATGTGGGTCCTGAATTGGCCTCCACAGTCACTTACGGATTCATTGTTAAAACCTTGTTTATGGAAGACAATCTTACTCGGCTACAAGTGATCACCAAAGAAGAAAAAGAAGCTATTTCTACCTGGTGCAGAAACGCCAAGTGGAATTCAACGTTGTGCTTTTCAGACTGTTCCATCAGGACAAGCATTTCAGCTTACCAGATGGAACAATCCCTCCTCTTCTCCTCTTACACCGCCCGCCCCCCAGCCAATCGCCGGGGGCTTGCAGGGGGAGAGGAAGAAGCCCAGTTGCACAAGCAGAAGGCATTGCATCAGTGAGTAGTTGCAGAATACACCCACAGAACAGCCCTAGTTGGGAGGGGCCCTTTTTTGTTGCCAATCTGCCATCTTTACCCAAGATAATAACTACAATATTTTGGTCACCCTACTGCCCAACTAGTGGATCTTTGAGAGAGAGTGCTGTGTGGAATATGGTTGTGTGAGGAGGAGGAGGATGGTAATGATGATGATTAATTGAATTTATATACAGTGGTACCTCGGGTTAAGTACTTAATTTGTTCTAGAGATCCATTCTTAACCTGAAACTGTTCTTAACCTGAAGCACCACTTTAGCTAATGGGGCCTCCTGCTGCCGCCACACGATTTCTGTTCTCATCCTGAAGCAAAGTTCTTAACCCGAGGTAATATTTTTGGGTTAGTGGAGTCTGTAACCTGAAGTGTATGTAACCTGAAGTGTATGTAACCTGAAGCGTATGTAACCCAAGGTACCACTGTACTGCCCTATACCCAGAGGTCTCAGGGCGGTTCACAGAATAAAATCAAAATATAAAACTACAAAATACATAATCAAAATAGAAACAATACCCTCCTCCCAAATAACCCGCCACATTTTAAATGGCATGTATCATATAGTGCTTGCAGCATCATTAACACAAGGCACACTGACATTTGGTGACTTATGAAAAGTCTTTAAAAACTATTATTATTAGCAGA